TGCGCGGCCGCGCAGCCGTGCACCTTAGAGGGAACAGTGCAGCTCAGATGCTACGTTCTTACCTAAAAGGATGGGCAACTGCATAGACAAACTCATGAGTGACTCTTTTATAATAAAGACCATGTTTCTTCCCACATATTAGTGGAACATTGGTTCTTCACTGGCAGATTGAGAGGGAATGAATACTGTAAACCTAAGAACCCTTATGGTTTGGGAGAAGCTAGATGATGAAATTCATCAGATTTGCTTATACAAATATTGTCTTTCAATCTTGCTTATTTTATTAGAATGAGTCCTAACTATTCTTGGAGACTTTGGAGCCAGTTTAGTATATCCATTAGGTGGCCCATCTAGTGATAGCCCAATCAATTACTGTAGGTAGAGTAAGGAAGCCACTATGGAACAGTAAATTGTTAATTTTATTTTTATTGTCAGGGAAGTTGGATTTTCTGTCTTTATATGTTATTTATATAAGTTAGCTTAGCTAACAGATTCATGTGGATAGGGAGTGAGGGAAAAATGGAAGGACATATGTTGTGCTAAATATTTTTCATTATATAGAATTGCAATATTTTGTTCCTGCAGCTGGATTGATTACCATACATTTATTTATTAGATTTTTATCCTGCCTTTATTAAAGTAATTCAATGTGGGTAGTTCTTGTTCACTTTTTGTCCATCAATAATATTAGAATTTCATTTCTGAAAAGTTTTTGCCCTTCATGGATATTATCATTTATTATGATCATGATGTGAGTACATAAATTGGCAGAGATAATAGTCAATAATCATTCATTAACCTTAAACCATTTGTGAGGGTGGAAGGAATGCAAGACAGCCAAAATAAATGTACATAATTGGTGCATGAAACTGGCAGGCCAAAAAAAAATGGCTGGACAAAAAAGAAACAGGAGTTCAAATGACGCAATAAATGTTGCAAAAACAAAACATTGTAGAAACCAGCTTTACTAACAGAAGCTAAAATGTAAGAAAAAAGATGGTAGTCTATTCTAAAGATGTTAAGATTGGTCTTTAAATAACATTTCTGCAAATTTATATAGTTGGTTTTGTAAAAGATAAAAAATAATGGCATGTAATATTGAGATGTATAAAAATGGTAAGTTGAATTATTGCTAAACTTGTGAGTAAATTTTGTAGCATCAAGTCAGAAAGCAAAAAATGGACACATTCCAAGATGTATTCCAGAAAGTAGAGAAGATTGGGGAGGGCACCTATGGAGTCGTGTATAAAGCAAGAAACAAGCAAACAGGCCAGTTAGTTGCTCTGAAGAAGATCCGACTTGATTCGTAAGTACTGAAGCTAAACCCTGAACCCTTCATTCGCAAGGTTACTCCTAAATGTGCTAGTCAAAAATTGGTTTTCAAATAACATTTTGGAATACAAACTATACGAAAAAGTGTTGGTGTTTCTTGAAACATGTTTGGGGTGAGGGAAATGTGGATTGCTAAAAACTCTTATGGAATATCTTGGTTAGAATTTGTTCATAGTGATAATATGGCTTCCCTAACAGATTCCAGATCAAGTATATTTTAATTTCTAGCAAGATAAAGCATATCTGTATCTCTAACAATATAATAGCAAGCACCTCACGAGCGTAAACGATGATGAATTTAGTCTCAAACAGGATGTATGAATATAGTTGTTTGCATTTCACAATTTTTCTAAGTGGCAACTCTGCATGTTCACTTTTCCCTTTGAGACACAACTGGGCCAGATAGAGAAATTGTATCAGAAACCTGGAGCATCTCAATCTATTTATCTTCTACCTTTCGCTAGAAAGGTCCCCAAATATCCTATCCAGGAACTGGACATGTTAGGATTCATTTATTTTCAGTAAGGAACTGTATTATATTCCTTTATATGTCAGATTCATAGCAGTGGAATAAATAGGGTACCTATTTAGGAGGAACAGTCTTTCAGGATTATATCAGATAATGAACAAATAGTCTCTATCAGGATGTGCACAGTAATGCCAAATGTTAAACCTGAAAAATGTTTTTCATTCATGGCATTATTTCTACAAAAGTATGGCTGCTTCAATCAAAGGAACAATAATTGACAATTGATAATCTGACCAAAAGAATTCTTCATACTTCAAAAGCTTCTGAAGTGTACTGAATTAAATTCTATCTGGCAGACTTCTTCTCTTGCTTTGTGTTCTAAGCCCCTCGATAACAACTGTGCATTCCCAGAACTAATCGACTACTTGCTAAGTCCCCTGTTTTTAAACCTATGGGGTGATTATTCATCTTGACAGGTGGGAATTTGTAGATTGAAAGTCATTATAGCTTTAATCCATAGATGGAATTCATGATTGATCATGTGACAATGCTCATAAGCAATTCATAGAAGATGAGGATGATGAACTATCCTGCCCAAAACATTCCTTAGAAAGATTAGGATTGCTTCATCATAAAATATCTTTCCTCCGCAGGGAGACAGAAGGAGTACCTAGTACAGCAATCAGAGAAATCTCACTGTTAAAAGAACTGAAACACCCAAATATAGTGAGGTAAGAAAAGCTACTGGCCTTTATTTCTGCTAGGATATATTCTATGAATATCAAATATTTTCACAGATAGCAATTCCAATATTGAATTTATTCACATATAAAAATAGACCCTAACCTAACCCTTAGATGTTTAACTCAATTATTTGTGTATTGCGATGTTATCCCCTGCCTCCAAAGAAGCTTGCACAATTATTTTCCTTTTAGCTTGCACAATTTTCCTTTGTTGTTATTTATTTGTGTTTGTTTGTTTGTTT